TAGCTAGACAGAAAGATAATAACTGGCAACTTTTTTTGAACCAAAATTAATATGATTATGTGGGAACTGTAACTGTAACATCTTTGGGTTATGATGAAAGTGTTCTTACAGTGTGTGTTATATTTTTATATATTTATGGTTCCGTTATTTAGCAATACCATAAAGATGATGTGAAATGTAAATGAATTTATATCATTCTATCTTTCATGCCTGTACAACAATTTAACTTTCAATTTCTTTTTCGTTTTTGTTATTTTCATTTCTGAGAATTTTTTAAACTTAAATTTAAACTTCAAATTTAGTGAAAAATTTTATCATTAATGACTAAAAAGAATATTCTTGCTTCTTATTTATTCTTCAACTCTATGTTGAAATAATTTCTAAGATGAATTACAAGAACTTTGCTTTTAAAATGTTCTAAAATTTCAGGTATGAAAATTTCAAATTTGCTATTATTCGATCTTTAATTGAAAGATCTGTTATTATTTTCTTACTATCCGATCATTACAGATGATCATTCCGATTGTATTAATTCATGATTTCAATATAATTAACAAATTGAGAAATAGAGATGGATTGCTAGTAGGTAAATAAAGGTTTTGCAAGTCTGTTTTTAATAATTTTTATGATTCTACTTGTTATTATCATATGTTTTTTTAAAACTATTTTATGATTCTATTTGTTTTTATCATCATATGATTTTTTTCAATCATTTTATGATTCTGTTTGTTTAAACTTATACAATTATGTCAACCTTTATTATAGATTGCAAAGAATTGATATTCATGTTCCCAACACGACACATTTCAACTTTCAACTGAATACATTTACTCTTTCATCATTATCAAAAAAGTAACTCTTTAATTTACTTAAATATATTTGACCTATGAAACATGCAAAAAATGCCATGAACAATGATCGCCATAGTTGATAAGATTCTCTGTAATTTTACGATAAGAGCGGAATAAATAATGTTGGATCGATATTGTTTCCAGAAGGATAACTTCATCGTATGATACATATCTCTTCCAATTTTTGGCATACATCAAAAATATTTAACAATTATATTACTACCATTTGAATTCACAATGCAAGATTGTTTTGTAAATTGATGATTGTATTGAAATATAATTGATATGATATCTGATATGTCTGTTTTACTTTTTTTTAAAAATTATTAACAATTACTGCATTGGCGTAGTTTCGATGCAATTCTTTCGATAAATTCCTTCAAAAAAAGGTGAATAGAATTCCGCATTTTAACTATCCTTTTATTAATAAAACAATAGAGTGAATAATAACAAAATATGAGAAATTTGCTTCCAGGATTTAAAATAAATGAATAATATGATGTAATTTACAGCCTATAACATCATTCTAATATTTAAAATTCTTATTTTGAAATTAAATTAATTATACAGTTTTAAGTATGGAAATTTAACACTCACCTTAATTTGATCAAATGCTTAAATTTTTAAAATTCCTCAAAAATAGCTGAACACGAATTATTAAATTATCATTATTATCTTATGGTGAATTAAAATAGTGTGCTCATATTTTGAAAGAAATATCTGTTAAACTTTTCCTAAATTAAAAATTCTTCCTTATCAACAATTTATCAATCAGTGCTATTAGTTCACTTACTTTCTACACCAAATATCTTTGTAATATGTTCAGAGAATGTTGCTAAAACTAAAATTAATTTTTTCAATCACATATTTCCATGAATAATTTGTATATCAACTAGCAATCTATTTCTTCATAATCTTCTACGGATCAAAAACAAAGTAGAAAAAAAAAAGTGATACTTTAGTGTATAACCCAAATTCCATAGATAGGCAAATCAACAAACTCAATCAAAATTTATGCCTACCTTCCTGTACCCATTGCTATCTTCGTCTATATATCTTATCTTTCAAAATTTCTTTATCATATAATATCAACATATTTTGCAACATCTATTATGATCGATTATTGATAAAGGAATAATCAATTAAACTATGTCATATAATATCAACATATTCTGCAACATCTATTATAATCGATTATTGATAAAGAAATAATCAATTAAACTATATCATATATAAATTAAATAGAATTGTTATTTATAAATAAATGCTAATTCAAATTCAAATTTAATTTATAGTAAAAATAAAAATTTTTGAAAACAAAAAAAAATGAAAAATTTTTGGTTTTTGAAAAAAGAAAAGAAAAAAGGGAAAAAGTTCTACAACAATGATTGTTTAACTTTAAACTAAATCATCACTAAAAGTATTTCATTTTTTTTAAAACTCATCTCACTCGATATATTGACATGCTTACTGATTGAAACGAACAACTGCACACTAAACAAAAACTGACAATATAAAATCGTTAAAATCTATCAAATTATCAGTGTAATTACCAATTAGTATTGATTATGGATAATATTTTGAAATGGAACTTATTCCATTATCTAATCCAAAATTTTCTTCATTTACTTAATTTAAATTTATTAATAATTAATTAGTATTCTTCGTGTTTAATCGTATCATAGTTTTTTTTTTGATACTGTAATTTATCATAATTGTAATTTAAGCTTAAAATTATTCCACGCTTTATTTGTATATTTCACATTTATCATTTGTAATTCTAATATTATAAATGTGATAATTTAAATCTGTCATTATCAAAGTTAAATTATATTTATTGAAATTGAATGTTTCCGTTTAAATTTAAATCAATGATGAAATTTTTGAAATTTTTAAAACTTTAACTCAATCATTTCTGCATTTTTTCTTCATTACATAAAATGATGTTATTCAAAACGTTGTATAATCCATTTCATTTATGTTTTTATTTTGATTCATATCACATATCATCTACAAAAAGATATATTGGAAGTGTAAAGAACCATAATTTATCAATCAACAAACTTTCCTTTTGCTTTCTTTTTTTTTTTTTGTTTCGAAATACTATTAATTATGATTAATTATAGCAATTTCAGGTATTTTTAGTGAAAAAAAAAGAAGCAATTTGTGTGATATAAAAAACATCATAAAGTTTATAAAGAGCAAACCGAAGATTTTACATTGTTTTCATCATAACTTTTGTCATACTGTAATACGGAACCATCTGTTATTATTAGCGGTTAATATGATATTTTTATCAATAATGATTAATGAATAAGATTATTCAAACTAATTACAAATGTTTCGTTGCATTAGAAATTTTGTTTTTTCTTTTCCACAAAGCTGAATTTCGAAAATATTACTTTTAATTCAATTTTAGGTATCAATTAATTCAGATTAAAAAAATACGTTAAATTAGGATAAGAAAAATTTATTGCATTTATATAAATTCGATAATTTCCACACCTTTGTTTTTCTTCAATAAATGTTGCGCTTTTTCCTTTGTTTTTACATTACTTAACTGAACTATTATTATCCGATTATATTATTTCAACTTTTGCGTATTACGTAAATATCTTGACTGATATATCTATGATAATTGTGTTTTTAAAAATTTTGTTTTTAAAAATTTGAAATGATTAAATTTCATAGCTTTAACCTCAATGTTAACCCATTCTTATTTTCATTTGAAACGTTTTATTTACGTCTGATTATATTTGAAGCAATATCATCACAGATTTTATTTACGTCTGATTATATTTGAAACGATATCATCACAGATTTTATTTACGTCTGATTATATTTGAAGCGATATCATCATAGATTTTATTTACGTCTGATTATATTTGAAGCAATATCATCACAGATTTTATTTACGTCTGATTATATTTGAAACGATATCATCACAGATTTTATTTACGTCTGATTATATTTGAAGCGATATCATCATAGATTTTATTTACGTCTGATTATATTTGAAGCGATATCATCACAGATTTTATTTACGTCTGATTATATTTGAAACGATATCATCAATATCATCACAATTTTTATTTACGTCTGATTATACTTTTACATATTACGTGAATATCATAACTCATATATTTTTGATAACAGAAACTATATTTTAAAAATTTGAAATGATTTAATTTCATAACTTTAACCTTAACATTATTCTCCTCTTAGTTTTATTTGAAACAATATTCATCACAGTTTCGATTTATTTACACCTATAACATTTACTCAATTTCAATCGTTCCCTTTTACTTATACAACATTTTATTTGATTTTATTAATTTCAATCATTTTGGAAGAAAAAACAAAATGTAATGAATTATTAATTATAAGAAGTAATTAGAAGAGATTATTTGGTAAAAGAAATAAACAAAATATTTTAAAATGAAAATGAAATGAAATAAAAAGCATCGAAGTGAAAATATTTATGCTTCTTTTTTTAAAACAAAAGAGGAAAAAAAAATGTGGAAAAGCTTTTGATGAATGAATAATGCTTTAACGCAATGATCGATACTTTTTCCAATGTTTAAAAATCGATTTTAGTATTGTTTTCGTTTTATTCGTTAAAAATTTTCCCATTTTTTCGTTTATTTTTTTACTTCGTAATTAATTAATTAATTAATTAATTAATTGTTTCTTATAAATTGAAGATAATATTTATTTATAATTTATGGTAAAAATTGAAATGATAAATATTGTTTTTACAATTAATTAATTAATTAATAACAAATGAGTGTGTTTAGTGAAAGAAGCAAAAAAAAAAATGATGTAAGAGAAAGACTGAGATGATAAAACATAAATCGATTAGATCGAAGATCAGAAATACGTCGAAAATAATTTAACATGTAGTATTGAGATAGTTAGATGTATGTTATCGTCTCGTTTTCATTTCCTTTATTTTATTTATATAAATTAAATTTTAATTTTTCTTTTTTTGTTTCAACAAAATTTATTTAGATGTCAAAATCAACAACACCACAACGACGTTTGTCACGTAGACTTACGCATGCAAAAATTATCAAAGAACTTTCGGTATGATAATTTAATGAAATTCAAATAGATTATTTAATTCTTTTAAAATTAAAATTAATTAATTAATAGAAAATAAGTAATTTTGAAATGTGAAGTAACAGTAGTATTAAATGTTTTTGTTAAAGATTAAAAAATTTTTTCATTTCAAAATTCGACAAATTGTTTGCATTTTTAGCAATTTAATTTTCAATGAATTTTATCATTATTTCATAATTGATTAATTGGAAGAAAAAATAAACAAATAATTGTTGGAATTTTTTTATTTGGAGAACTTAGAAAATGCTGCGATTGTTGAAATGGATCATGGCGAACGAGCGTATCGAGAGGGTCGTTTCGTTTTTGAATGTTCTTGGGAAGTGGCTAATAAAGGTTAATTATCATTAATTATTTTTTTTCAATTTTTCATTCAGAAATGTGCAATTTTCATAATCGAATGTTTGATTGAAAATGGACGAATATGTATGAATTAGTTTTATAGTTGGTGGAATATATACAGTATTGCGAACAAAAGCACCGATAACAACTGAAGAATTAGGTGATCAATATTGCATGTTGGGTCCATACAAGGAAGAACGGGTGAAGTTAGAAGTAAGCACTTATAAATAATATCACCATCATTTGTTTATTATTTATTTTAATCATATAAAAAATTTCAGGTTGAAATTTTGCAACCTGATTCAGCACCACTAAAATATGCTTTGGATCAATTAAAAGAAATTGGCTTTAAGGTATCACTATGATCTCAGTAGCTCTCTGTATTTTATAGCATTTTTATAGCTTTAGTTTTTTTTTTTCCTGTATCTTTTAATAGTTGATTATATCATTAAATTGATTAAAAGATTCCTTTTAAGGCTAGCTATGGTAGATGGCTAATTGATGGCTATCCAAAAGTAGTATTATTTGATATAGTGTCAGCTGCATGGAAACTTGATCATTGGAAACAGGAGGTTCTATTACACAACAATTTGAAAATAATTAATGAAAATTTTTTAATTACAAAAATTCTCCTCTTTGCATGTATTCCATAAAAACCACTTTTTTTGGGATTATGGAATCACCTTGTTTATATTACTCATTATCAATTATCAGTTATTTGATAGAAGCTAGCACTAATTTAAATTAATCCAATAATTAGAAAATTGTTAAGTGTTAATTTCTTTTTTTTTGATGATCCATTAATCAGGCCTTAATCTTATCTGTTAATTATTAGAATATTTTAGCTCTGGGATTCGTGTAAAATTGGTATACCATATCATGATAGCGAATCAAATGATGCTGTCATATTGGGTTTCATGGTTGCAATATTCATTCAGAAAGTTAATTTCTCATCCATTTTATTTTACTGATTAAAAATTAGTGCAAATAGTAAATCTGATCTATGATCGCTTAAGAATTTGGTTAAATTACAAATTTCAAAATTTTTTATCAATAATTTTTTTTAATTATAGTATTTATACGCAATCGAAGATTATCAACCTTTATGCGTGGCACATTTTCATGAATGGCAGGCTGGTATTGGTCTTATTTTATCCAGGTAATAATAATTATTTTTATCAAAATATAAATTTTAGTAATTTTAATAATTTTCATTCTAAAATATTTTTATTTTATCATTCTTTCCAGTGATAATGAATTAATTAAGGAATAAATTATATTAATTTTTCTTGCTTTCAAAATTTTTTTAAAGCTTAAAATTTATACTTAAATAATTTGTAGAATTAATAATACATAAATGTTAATCGAAATTTTTCTAACAATAGGATTTTGTGATAAACATATTCAATATTTGGAATAACTTTTCTTTTTCCTTTTTTGAAAATATTTTGAAATATATCATATTCGAGATTAATAATTTATTATTTGAGGTTGTGGAAAACAAATGTTTCAACAATTTTTACAACACACGCTACATTACTTGGCAGATATCTTTGTGCTTCCGGTGCAGATCTATACAACAATATTGATAAAGTTTAAAGTTTTTCTTATCACTTCTAATTTTTTTCTTATTGAAAGAATATATCAGATCATATTTATTCATTCTTTTTTATTCAATGATAGTATCAGTTGAACGGTTAATCATAGTATTATCTATGATGAGATTAAATAATCAAAGCTTATTTCATACTTGTATCATTTTATTTTATTACTTGAAATTAAGCTATCAGTAAGAATCATATTCTTACTGATAGTTTAATTTGACAATCTCAAAGATTGTATGATAAACGTATTATTTGATATTGACAAATAGTGCATAAATGAAAGAAAATTGTGGGAAAAAAAAGGAGAGAAAAATAATTATTTGAATTCATTTTATTCAATTAGAATGAAATTTTAAGAATTAAAAAACAATAGAGTAAATAATGAAATGTTTATTTTCTTGTTGATAATGATTGAATAAAAATTGAAATTTTTAGCTTGATGTTGATCGCGAAGCAGGAATACGTCAAATTTATCACAGATATTGTATTGAAAGAGCTGCAACTAATTTGGCACATATTTTTACAACCGTAAGGTTGGCAATAACTATTTATCATTTTTAATATCTTAATATACCTACATATTTTATCCATTCTCAAAATATAATTTTAGAAAAAATAGTATAATTTAGAGGGTTCAAAGTTGATTTTACATTTTTATAAATTTCCAATATTTCCCACAACAAAATATCAGAAATTTTATTTATTTTTTTATATGCCTAATACATGATAATGAAATATATAGCAATAGAGAAATCAAATAAATAAAGTTTGTGTTATTTTTGTTTACTTCTTACACTTTTGCTATGACAACTCATTTGATGATATTCGCCATTTTCCTTCTATTACAGGTAATATTGATAAACAAAAAATGAAAAAAGAAAATTGCAAGTTTAAATTTATTTTCAGAAATATAAAATTCCAATTGTTGTTTTAAAAAAATTTAAATTAATTGTTATTTCGTTTCTTGTTCTTTTTTCTTTGTTTGCAGTGAAATAACAGGTCTTGAAGCAACACATTTGGTTAAAAGAAAACCGGATATTTTGACACCAAATGGTTTAAATGTGGTCAAATTTGCAGCTTTGCATGAATTTCAAAATTTACACTCAGTTGCTAAAGAGAAAATTCACGATTTTATTCGTGGACATTTTTATGGGTTTGATGTTTCATCTTTTTTAGTTATAAAATATAAAATGATTTTTTTTAATTTTAAATTGAATATA